AGCAGCCAAAAGGAGAATCAGTAACAGAGAGATTTCTATTCATATAGTTAAAACTATATTCTAGCACATAAACGTTTGAGTTCCAACTACTTGGAATAGTCATCCACCATCCTGATGGAATTTATAAGTATTTTCCTAAGATTTCCAGATATTTTATCCAAAGTCTTGTGATATAGAAATACCAATAATAGTGTAATTTCCAAAGGCTGGTCTGGACCCTGACAAGTATTCAACAGACTTCATTTGAACGTAAAAAACAATAATCATAATCTGGCTATAGCTAAATGTAATAAGGAAACTGGATAAATATTAACGAATATCTAATTTATTCTTGGTAGCAATCTGGTAAAGTATTATGTAAGATAGAACTGCTTCTGTATCATCTTATTCATTTTTCTGTATTTGTTGTTTAGCAGAGGCTACTCCTATTTTTTACCATCCTAAATTTCAATTGTTCCCTAATGCAGGGGCATCAAAATATACGTTTATTATGTGTTTCATCCCTTAATACATATAGAATCAAAATAATAGAATTTTAGAATATATATATATATATATATATACACATACATAGTAACTTTAGAAAACATTTTTCCTTTATTTTACCTTTCAATGACTTTTTAGGAATATACTGTGACAAAAGAAAGAAAAAGAAAAAGAAAAAGAAAAAGAAAAAGACAGGACTGTCGGTACACACAGCTTTTGCTAGTGTTGTCAGCTTTTTTACTTTTGATAACATGTATAGTTTAAATTCCATCCTGCTCATGAAAAGATAAAGGCCTTAACATGAGATTCCTCAACTAATAATCGGCCAATAATCTTCATTTTAGGCTTCCTGTAACACATTCACCATTTTAGTTTCCCTCTCAAGTCTTCTCCCACCCTTCGCCCCTCAGTATCCATCCTTCTCCAAGAAGTCCTTAACCAGACTTGCCCTGTTCTCTCCAGAAAAGGGCTGGCCACAGGATTCCAGATATCAAGGATCTCAACAAAACACAAACCACAGGAGTTGACGTGGAGATAAAAGACCCAAGAAATAAAGCTCAGAAGAAGGAAGAGTACAAAAATTCCCTTAACAACAAAATAGAAGAGGCAGAAAGAAAAGACAGGATTGACAGGAAAAAACCATGTTAAGTATTCTGAACATTTACAGCATTTGAGCAACATGCAGTATTATATTAAAGCCAGATACACACAGGCTGAGTCAACAGATCAGTTTTTAAACTCAGGGCACACGGTAAAGACAAAAAGAAGCCTCAGAAGCCGTGGTCAGGCAGAGCCAAGGTCTGTCTCCGTATGCATCACTAGCATTCCTATCCTTGTGCTGTCTCAGGAGGCTCTGAAAAGGCACTGTGAGGAGCCCTGATCTGGGGTTTGGGGGTTCTCAGAAGGCTTCCGCCAAACTCTAAATATACTGAACACTCAGAATTCCAAGGCTGCTCTCTTGTCAGGGCTAGGGAAGCCTAACACAGTTAAAAGAGATAAAAGTCTCCAATAAGAGTTTTTAGGGTCAGGCATGTTAACAGCTGGCCTGTACTTCCTGAGTTCTGCTTAATTGGAGACAGAAACTAATCAAGAAAAGGTATCCTTCATACCTTTGGACTGTATTATTGTCTCCTGATGCTCTATGTCACATAAAGGACTGTTACCATTGTTGCTGGTGGTTTTTTTTTTTTTTTGGTCTTTCTGAGACAAGGTCTCCCTATGCAGTTCAGGCTAGCTTTGAGCTCATTTTGTTGCCCTGCCAGGCCTGGAATTTGCAGTGATCCTCTTGCCTCAGCCTCCTAAGTGCTGGGATGGGATTATACGTGTATGCCACCATGCCCAACTTTTGTTTTGTTTTGGGATTGAACCTAAGGTCCCACATGCACTAGGCAAACAAATGCTCTATCATTAAACTGTATCCCTAGCTGTTATTCATACTTGACTAAGTAACATAGTTACATTTTGCAAATTTAATGTACACTCCGCATTTAAGGGGAAAGTTCTAGTTTATTTCTTTTTGCTGGAAATGTAATTTTCCCTTGATTTCATTATTATCACAAAGACAGCCGGTTAATTTCTAAAGTATCTGAAATTAAAAAAGGTTTAAAATTGTAACAGGCATTATGAGAATGGGGAAGAGGAGACACTTCTGGTTCACAGTATAAATCTGGTCAATAAAAATATGTATTACTCAATGAACGGAAATCATACATTATCTAATATGTACTATACCGAGGCCATCAATTCTAACCTCATGAACTCTATGATTTTTCATATCTCCTCCCATCAGTTATTACTAAATGCTTTGGCCACTTTCCACTGTTAGGCCACAAAAATCTATACAGCCAATCACACACCATTTGGTAAAGCCACTTGCTGGACTTTTTTTTTTTTAAACCTTTCATTATTATTCAGAAGGTTTCCAAAAAGATAAAAAAGGAAAAGTAAAACGGTCAAAAACTGCACAGTACTCTAACAGTTCCACCATTTGAAAAAAAAAGAATGATGAGAACATTTTGGGACTGAACCTTCCCAAGGAGGAGTAAAAATTTATGTGATTCACAGATACCTGAAGAATCAAGTAAAATAATTACATAGGATTTGGGGAGAAATGGAAAATTAAAGAATATCACATACATACATACAAACCTGTTTTCATTGTATACTGAATGACATCTATGGATAATAAAAGAATTGTACAAAAATAAAATGCTAAGATGGAGACCAAAGAGGTATTGTTCATATATTAAAGTAATTTATAAAGTACACTTGGCATTATAGTTTCCTGCTTTAGGAAAAAAGACTGGAGAAGCCTAACTCTGGATCATCTTCAGTTACCTTTTGTAGGCCTTCACCATTTCTTGACTGATTTACTGCACCAGCATTCTAGTGAACTTTGTTTCTATTCTCCAATCCCACTTTTGCACAGAAACTAATCACACCTACTTGTAATAGACCACCTTCAACTGCTTCATTGCGACTCTCAGAATAGAATCCAAGCTCCTCGGCACTACACACATTCCCCCAGAGGCACCATTCCTGTGCTCCAGTCCCAGGCCAGATCCCAGCCCTCATACCTCCTATGCTCAAATCCCAAACCCACTAGTGTCTTGTCCCCTGAAGGTGCAGGGTTAGTTTCCTCATAATGCCTCCCAGGTTTTTCATGTGCCACCGTGTCCTTGCATATGCTACCCATCTCAGTGGAACACCTGATTCCCTGCTTCCTGTGCCTCATTAAACTCATCCTTCAGGATGCAGTCTTACATCTAGTGGAACCTTTCCTAATGCCCTCACCCTCCGAAGGGTCAGAGGCTTTTCAGACACGGCAGTGTATTCTCAACTGGACTAATGTAATGAATTAACACATTCTAGCTGAGTGACCTTGAACAACTTCGGTAATTTCACTGGCTCCATTGCTTCCTCTTACTAAAGCATTCATTCACTATCATAGTGCAACACTGAATGTCAAAAATCATTTATAAACAATGAAGCACCACATAAATATTAAAAATTTTATCATAAACCAAAAGAGCACAAGGTTTTCTAGGTGTTTATACTTCAGTTTAATCTAAGGATAAGATTCATCAATCCTGATTTCCAGTCCCCTCTCCAAGAGATGCCCTGCATTTCCCCCTAATTTCTGGTTTCACTAAGTCCTTTCACTAAGTCCTTCTATCTTCAGGAAAAAAAAAATCTACAGTGATGTTTAGGTCATTTAAGGAAAACACGAAGTGGGAAGCTACTGAATAATACAGACTTTGCTTTTTCCTGCCTTTCCCAGTGACTTTACAGGAGTGCTGTGTTAATATGTACAGTCACTCAGTAATATAAAAAGAATGCTAACACACAATCAGTTAGTAAATATGAAAGCACTGAAAGAGTGAATATAAGCATATTCTGTCCTTAATAAGTTCATAATCAAAAGGAACGAGTGATGTAACAGATTCCACATGAATCTGACCTTAAGAAATGTTTAACAAATGCTTTTCTTGTCATCTTCAAGTGCAATAAATTTCCTGCTATTCCATGTGATGATCTGGCACATGTTCTAATTGCTTTTAGTGACTTATGCTTGCCCTATGAATATTTTAACATTATCAGAATCACTGAAGTGATTCAACTCATGGTCATTGAGTATCTGCTACATTCAGCCTTATCAGAGTACAAAGATAAAGGTAATGGACTGCTCACGAGTCACTAAATGTATCCAAGGAAACTAAGCAGTCAGTACATGTTATTATTACAAAGCCGAAAGCTGCAAGGTGTGTGGAGGACCTAATATAGTAACAATCAACAAATGCATTTGATTTAGGACCCTAATGGTGGCCAACAATTGCTATTCATATTGAATACCTAGTATATACTAATATGTAATACTTGCTGCATGCATCAGCAGGTATCTGCGATCATCTCCTTCCCAAACCAAGCGCTGTTTCATGCCCTTTAAAGGTACACTTGCTCGTTTCCAACATCCCTCAGTTTTATAGATGAGGCACAGGTTTTGTTAATTCCCCAAGATTAAGAGTTAAAAATAAAAGCAAGTATATATAAATAAGGTCCTGAGAGAAAAACCTGCGTATCCTCGGAGCGCGCGGTCCCACTTGACATAACCGCTTCCCGCAGTGCTTCCCACCTCTCCAGGGCGCACCCAGCGGGAACACCACATCACCTTCGGGGTACAGGGAAACAACTGAGATCCCTCTCGGACTGGGGACCCGTTTCTGGATCACCTCCAGGGACGACAGCCACGCTCAGCTCGTTCAGAGGCGCCACCCCGGCGGCATCCTCTGCTGGGCAGTTTGGGATCCGGGGTCTACTCCTTCTCCTTCCACACCCCGGCGGCATCCTCTGCTGGGCAGTTTGGGATCCGGGGTCTACTCCTTCTCCTTCTCCTTCCACCTGCCCGCCCGCCCTGCACCTTCCGCAGTCCCCGCTGACCGCCGCGCGCAAGGCCTCCCGCGCCCCCGTCTCCACCGTCCAGTCCCCAGCCCGCACGACCCCGGCCAGCCACTTACGGTTCCAGTACACCGGGTAGCACTCCCCCTGGGTCACATCCACCTCGTAGAGGCCGCCGCGAACGCACACCGGCTCAATGTGCACCTGCCCCTCGGTGTTCCGCTCGCGCCCTGCAGCGCGCGGACAGAAGCCGCAGGCACGGTCCCCGTTGTCGTTGCCGTCTTCCTCGGTGGAGCGACCGGGGTCGGCCGGTCCGCGGGCAGGGTCGTCATCGCGGGCTTGGGCGCCGGCGGCCGGCAGCAGCGTCCGGAAGGCGAGCTCGATGCGCAGCGAGTCGTAACCGATGAAGGGCTTCCAGGTCTTCTTGTCTTCACGGTAGAACCAGCGCACCTCCTCGGGGCCCAGCTCCGCCACCACCTCGTAGCGGTGCCGGGCGGCCGGACCCCCGGGCCGGGCGCGCTTCCTCTCCCCGGGGCCCGCGCCCGCCGCGCCGCCGCCGCCGCCGCCGCCGGAGTTCGCAGGCAGCAGCGCGGGCGACGGCGGCGGGTGCAGCGACGACGAGCTGCCGGCGCCGCCGCTCTCGCCCTCGCTGTAGTAGCGCAGCGAGGAGCCCGACTCGGCCGAGCTGAAGTAGTTCTCGTCGCTGAGCGACGGCTCCAGCGCCAGGTGCGGGAGGTCGTCGGCCCCCGCCGCCAAGTGCAGCCCCGGATCCCCGCGCAATAGCGCCAGCGACACACCGCTGTCGCCCGGCTCCCCTCCGGGGAGGTGTTCGTAGCCCCAGCCGCCGCCGCCACCACCACCGCCGCCGCAGCCGAACGCCGGCCCCGCGTCCGCGCCCAGCTCCCAGGCGCCGCCGCCCCGGCCGTTACGCTCGGGGCTCCGCGGGGAGCCGTGGCCCGGGAAGTTCATGGTGCCGGGCCGCGCGCCGAGCCGTGGCCCCCACAGCTTCCGCCTCACATCCAGCGCCGCCGCCCTCTCCGCCGGGGTTTTTAATCTTTCAAAGCCGGGACAGAGCTGCGGCGCCGGCAGCTGCGGCGATGGCTCCGCCCCCCGCGTTCGCGGGCCCGCCCATTGTCACGTAGCCCGGCGTGGGCGGAACTAGGAAGGCCCCGCCCCAAGCCCCGCCCCGGAAGTTCTGTCTGCGGCGCCAAACTCCACTCTTATCCCCTTCCTCCCTCCATCCTTCCAGGTCTATGGCCTCTCCGCCGGAACGGTCGGGTCAACCCGGGTCTCCTGCCTAGTTTGACCTGCTCTCTTTCGTGACCGCGCCTGCGCTTCGCTGCACAGCTGCCTTGGCCCGGTTCTCCTGAAGTCCCGAGCCCAGCTGTGGTGAGGCTTTACGCAGTCCATCCTGAGCCTGGAGGCTTCTGCCGCTCCAGAGTCCCTTGCAAGTTGCTTGCCTGCAATCACTTTTTTCTAAAGTACACATTTTTGATCATTTTGAATGAGTACGTTTATTGTGGAGGGTTGGCACGTGTACATACTGTGTCTTAATGCTTTTTACTTCTCTCTTCTGCCTCCATCTCTAGATCCCTGCCCATCTCCAAAAGCTCTACTTCTCTGTATCCTATATATATAATAATATCCTATATATATAATAATAAAAGCATATGTCTTTTATTATTTAAACTTTGGGTCCCTCATATAAGAGAAACCATGCAATGGTTAACATTCTGTGTCTGATTTGTTTCATTTAACATTACGGTCTGAAGGTGCATCCATTTTCCTACAAATGATGAAGATACATCCTGCTTTATGGCTTAGTATTTCTCAGTGTACATATCCCGCCTCCATCCTCACCTGGACCTTCTCAGTCACTTGGCTCTGGTCCCTCCAGAATTATCTGCAGGCGGGAAAGCGCTCTGACCACACCTACAGCTCCCTGGGCATCACCACACCCACTCAGAAACTGGCGGAACTTAATGTGCCTTTCCATACCACCTCTTACTGCTGATCTTTCAGTGATTTCCTGTTTGCTCTACTTCCTTATAAAACCCTTGATGGAAAGATATCTGTGTCTCAACCTTCACACAGCACAGAACCAGTGTTTATTGACTATGCTGGCACCTCTGAAAACACAGGTGTGGCAGATTATTAGGTCAAAGGGCAGAAAACCAATTGTCTTCTAGGCCCAGTTTTGCTAATAATCCTGGGGAAATCACTTAACCTCTTTAATCTTTTTGGTTTCATTATCAGCACACTGAAGCATTGTTGGACAAGATGGGTAGTTCCTTCCAGCAAATTCGGTGACCTGTAAGGTTTCTTCCAGTGTTTTTTGCATCTCTGATTCTGTAACTCACTTTTCTAAGATCAAGCTGAATAACTGCTCAGACTTACATAGTTTTTATATTTAAAAATTTTTGTTAATTTTATAAACTCATCACCCTGTGTTAAGACTTAAGAGCAAAATAGTCTCCAACTTTGGTGTTCTCAATTCAAGAGCAGGTAGTCTTCACTGTTTCATTACTCCCGCTGTGATGAAGTTAGGTTGGTAGGGTAATATTTTCTGATTGCCCCAGAGATTATTTGAAGTCATTATTTAAATCAGGATCATCTCTAGGGCATACAGTGCTTTTGTAGGAATTGGGGAAAAAACAATGGAATATGTGGTTCATGGCTTGGCGAATGGAACATGGGCTGGGTTTTCTATCCCAGTTTGCACTGAGGAGTGGTTGATCTTGTGCAGTAACTTGCCAAGCTGTACACTGCAGTCCTGATTCAAAGAACTCTTTTTCCATTCATCATGCTTGAACTTCCATTCAAAGTGCTTGAACTTCAACCTCTTTTGTGTTTCTATTAAGATATGCAGAATATAAAATTGTCTATGAGCTTTGATCTATTTACTGCCCACGAGAGCATTAACTCCTCAGTGTTTGATAGGCAGGCACTTCTGATACAAAAGAGAACAGGAGAGACTTAAATTCTTTTTTTTTTTTTTTTTTTTGGTACGGGGGATCAAACTTATGACCTAGCACTTAGCAGGCAGGTGCTTATGCTGCTGAGCTAAATCCCCACCCCTTAAAATCTTTCTTTTAGCAACATGCAGCCTAGTGTGGCTATGAAAAAGTACACAGATACAGTACAGTGTGAAAAAATAAGAGGATTTAAAATAATTTAAAATATTTCTATTCCTTTATGTTTCTTGAGGGTAGCCTAGTTATGTAACTGTCTGGTCAAGTTATTTTAGCTAAATTCTAATTCTTAAGGATGATACAATTCCCTTTAATGAGTATTGCCCTCTGTAGGAAAAACTTCTGTTGAAGGAATATTTCTGTACTTTGAGTGTTGTGCTTACTTGGTAATTTTTTTTAGAATTTTATTTAAAGAAAGACAAAACAAAATGGGTAGAAATAATACATATGTTCAGAGAAAAAATAGTAAGAAATCACTAGTTAATGTTTACATACTGCCCTTTTACAAATAGTTGTTCAAGATACAAAAGTGGAACATATAAACTGGGAATTCAAACAGCAAGACTGCAAACAGTTCTGTTCAACTATCCAACAAAAAGTAATACGGTTGTCAATCCTATACACTTAAAAATACATGCAGTTATCCATATCTTCATTTATGTTGGGATTAAACAAACTAAAGCAGGCTAAAGTCATTCTGAACAAAGAATAATAGTATTGCTGGATTTCATGACACTCTGGGATCAGCACTGGGTTCTGTAGTGTGGTTTTTTTTTTTAACATTTTATTTACAGAAAGACTAAACAAAATGAGTAGAAATAATACATACTGTCAAAGAAAAAAATAAACAGTAAGAAATCACTAGTTGATTACAGGTTGTCCTCTTACAAATAGTTATTCAAGATATTAAAGTGGAGCATTTAAAGTGGGGATTCAAACAGACTGCAACCAGTTCTGTCCAACTATCCATCAAAAACTTAGAAATATGATTATCAATCCTATACATTTAAACATACATATAGTTATCCATATCTTCAATTATGTTGAGACTGAATAAACCCAAGCAGGCTAATATCACTCTGAACAAAGAATAATACTATTGCTACATTTCCCATTATGACCCTCCAGGACCAGCACTGGGTACTTAGTGTCTCTTTTTTATCTGTTCATTTCATCATGTGTCATAAGATCAGTTCTCATAAACTTTATGGTTTCTACACATGCATGAGTCTTAACATGTATTTCTATCCTTTCTATATTAGAGGGAGAAACAAAACAAAGCAAGATAAAACAAAACATATTCCTATAAACACATGAAACAAAAAAGAAATATAAGACCATTGTACAAGGAGTTCTACCATAGTTCCTGTGTTGTCTCGTTATCTTCAATAGAATTGGCTATATCATCAGACATAGTGTAATTGAATATATCAGTACATAACAGTATTAATAAAAACAACTTTGTATTTATTTGGTAATATTGAGACTGTTCTTATGTAGTCCAGCGGGTGAGCCCACACTGAGAGCAGGATCTTTCTTGAAGGAGCTATTATTGATCCTCAGTGTAGTCCAGGTAGCAGGAAAGGGGTGTCCCAGGTTCTCTGGACCTCGCTCTTGGTCAGGGAAGACAGCAGTCAGTAGTAGCGGGAGTTGAGTTTGCTTTTGCTCCCTGGGAGTGTGCTGGCTGGTAGTTGGCCCGAAGCTGACAATGAACAAAAGATCTTTGAAAGCATAGTATAGAACTGACTGTGTGTATTTGTTTCCCTTTTATTTTCTAGCCATCTCCAGGCAAAGGTCATGAAGTTACTTGTCTTGGTTTTCTTTGCTGCTTTAAAAAGTCACCCTTTCACTGAGGCTTCCTGCTATGATCGTTTTGTTTTCAGGATCTTTTCAGATTATGTAATCCTGATGAGCAGGAAAAGGATTGGAGCCTCCATTCCATTCCCTGGCTGGTCAAATAGCCTCAGGTGGCTCCTTACCACCTACATCATTACTGCCTTCCCTGGACAAGGCCATTTCTGAACTTTCATGGCTCTATGTAAAGCATTCTATTCTAATTTAGTAATTACCCAAGACCAGGCCTCTTTCCCAAGTGGAAAATATGCATGATTGATTCAGATTCTTGGTATTGATGAACCTGAGCAGCTGCAAAAACCAGGCCAGTGTGGAACTAGGCCTGTGGGAGTTCTTGGTGCAAGAGAGTAAAGGAGGTCAAGCCAGTTTATTTTTGCTGCAGAAGCACAGCTCAAGCACATATTGTCTCAACCTCTCTTCCCCAATAGGCATGGGAGAATCTATCTGCCAACAATGACCATCTTCCTCTCCTATTTCTCAAAAGTTCCATGATTCAGTTTCTTTTTTTTTCTTCTCCCTAAAAGCTTGTTCCGAACGATCACCTTAACCTCTTTTTAGCTACATACAATTGTTAGGGGTGGAGCCAGTGTCCCATGCTCACACTTAAAAGAGCTTCATCCAGTGTTGTATGTGCCCTTCGAATGAAGTATGTACCCTTCGAATGAAGAAAGGGAGATGGTACCTGACCAGCTGCTCCATTCTCTATATCTCCTGTTGGAGGAGTCACTTGCTTCAAATGAGTATCCCATTTTCTAAACTTGAGAGTATGTTTTTGGTGCACTGGTGAAATGGAACAACATGTTCCACTGAATCAGTGAACATTCTCTGGACATATATAAGGTGTCTGCCAAGTTCACGTACCCTGCTGGGCTCTGCAGTGTAGCATTCACAGTCTTGTGGTATCTTTCAATAGAACCATAATGCCAACTCTTGCATTCCTGGGAGGACTATAATTGGAATGCTAGTGTTCATCACCGCATAGAGGTCATCATTTCCCTGAAGGCAAATCAATAGAGGAAACTAAATTATACTCCAAAGGGCACTGGTGAGCAGAAATAACATAGGAAATACAATGAATGAAGTCATTCATTGTTCCATTTATTCAGTCAATATATTTGTATGATATTCTTTTTAAAGTCCTGTATGAGCCAGGATTGGTGGCACACAACAGTAATTTCAGTACTCTGAGGCAGGAATATTGCAAGTTGGAGCTCAAGCCTGGACAATTTAGCAAGACCCCTATCTCAAAATTAAAAAAAAATTCAGAAATAAAAAGGGCTAAGGATGTAGCT